ATGCATACTTTAAGGAGGATGTCCAGTTTTCCCCTGACGAGGTGTACCGTGTGCGCCCTGTGATTATATACTACTACCTAGAGGATGACAGCATGTGCATCTATGAGCCCATAGTGGAGAACTCTGGGTTATGGCAGGGGAAACGGTTGAAACGACAGCGTGTGCCCAAGAATGAACGAGGAGAGCATTACGAGWATAAAGACCTTAACCTTGGCATAGACCTGGTGGTGTATGTGCGCAAGTACCACATCACAAATTGCGATGAGTTTACAATGGTACAACCTGTTTGATTTATCTTTATTTTTTTACAGTATGTTTAATATGTACCCGTCAGTTGTTGAAAATACACCCTGTCTATGTCTWAACAGAAATTCATGGAAAGTGAGGGCATTATTTTGAACGACCCTGAGCCGATGCCAGTTGATCCTTACATCAACAATCGCAAAATGACTCTGCCTTGCTACACCACACCCTCAGAATTTGACAAAAAACACCGGTTTCTCACTATGGACGGGAAGGTAGAGTAAATTCCTTCTGTAACCATTATAAACTCTGATCCAGACAGCTATCAACACAGAGGCAGAAAATGAACCGGTTCTAGTTTCAGTCTCTTAACTTCTCTCKGTTTTTTACGTTTTTTATGCTAAAGTGAAACTAGCTATCATTTTTAATTTAAAGCGTATTTAAGTTTACATAACATGAGGGTTTAATGTTTCAGTACAGTTAGCAAAACTGAAGTTATATAATATTTACAGTTTACTTTCTGCATTCCTCCAGTTTAAGCAAATTTGAATATATAAATTTYAACTTTCTATCAACTGCAGAGTTGACAGAGGGATCTGAAACAAAAGTTTCTATACAAATGACCAAGCTAAAATTCTCTGTTGCAGTGTTGTCAGGTAGAGACGTTTACTAGTAAACATGAAAAATATTTGTGAGTATCGAACTGATATGACAATGCGAGAGGTAGCGGGTTCGATGCCCGCATCCTCCAGTGACCTTGTTTTCCTCCAGATATAATGTGGAACATGTGTTATGATAAACATCTGGACATTCATTAGCATGTAGTGTTCTCTTGCTAATATGTTGCAATGGCTGGACTATCGCACCAATGTTCTTATTATTTTTGTCTGTACTGTATCTAAAATATTTCTTCAAATCAGTAAGTTTCATTCTCTTTATAATGTAGTACAATGCACATGTTCACATACCTTTTTTATATTTTTTTTTAATATAGTTTGTTCAAAGAATGTTTTTTAAGCAAAATGTCCAAACATTTCATGGTGTCAACCCTCATCTTTCTCTGTTTCCTCAGATAAACTACATTTCTTTGGCTCTTGGACATAAAATAAGCAACAGAGGAAATGCGACGCTGTGTGTAAATATTTGTGCAGACGAATCTAGGGGCTCGGTTCACAATGCAAATGAATGATAGAGGCTGGAACAAGTTTATGAAAGAACAAAAAGGTTTGTCAACATAGAAGTGAAAGCAGCACTAGTTAATAACTCAGTTTAATTCATACATTGAATTGTATTTAATAAAATCTGACAGGGTAGAGACATGAACACATGAAGAAAGTGAACAGACGGGTTTGTCATCTTCAGGTTTGCAGGGTTTTTAAATCAGCCATACGAACTTTACCACTTTTATCAAACATCCACATCAGTCGACATGATGGTGAAACCCAATCACACACTGTTCAGCTGTTTGAGTGTTTCTCTCAGAATGACCCTCGTTATTCCTGTTCCTCCAGTGATGAAGAGGTCGGCCAGCTGGGTTTGGAAGCAGCATCTGAACCAGTCTGCGGGCGGAGTCAGTCCCGGCGCCCTCCCTCCCTCACAGGCTCGCTTTCTGCTCCAAGTGACCAAAAGTTCAAGGTATCAAAATGTCTCTTTTTGTATATTCCCGCCCCCAAACGTCAATGCAGAGTTAGAGCAAGCAAAAGCAGCGAGGGTGTCTCCTGACGGCAGATCTGAGCGAGCAGCAGGAGTCCGTCTGCTCGCTGCCTCGTGCTCACGTCTTACATGAAGTCATCTGAATCGTAGCCGTCCTGTCAAAAAGACATGCAATTAAAGGCATTTGTAGAAAAATGTATCAGAGAGAAGAGAATTCATCAGATTTACAAATTCTTCCTGTCTGTGAATGTTACACAATAACATGAGAGAATGATTTATTTTGGTTTGTAGACATCCTAACCTCATTACTCTTCATATTTTCACTCTTCATCAGCGTTGTATAGTTCCTAGAGAGAGAAACAGGTTTTAACAAAAACAACATTTAAACTTGATGTTAATTTTCTGCAATAACAATGAAAAACCCATTCAAACAGTCAGCCTGCGCTCTCTCGCTCTGACTTCAGCAGCTGATGTACCTGAGCTCCTCCACCTCTTTTTTCCTCTTCTGCTCTTCCTTCTCTCTCTTCTTCTGTTCTTGGAGCAGAGCTTTCTTTTCGTTCCTCTCCTCTCTGTCTCTCGACTCTTTCTCTGCCGCCAGGTCAGGGAACCGTTCTTCTTTTGTTTTTTCCAAACGGTTAACGATCTCATTGACCTTCTTCTCCACTGCTACGATCTTCACCTGAGAAACACGGTACAGGCATGGAAACCGAAGGAGCCATATACTTCAAACAAACAGATGTTACATGTTCTTTCCCAGGTGCAGCTGTTTGCTCCCATTCATTTATGAAAGAATGAAAATCAGAGGGTAAGAGATAATTCATCTTAATGAACATGAAGCTGTCGTTTATTTTCTGAAGGTCTTTGTTGTAGTTTTTATTCTGCAGTTTACTGACCTCTTTCTGTAGATGGAATCCGATCTGCCCTACGTCCATGTCTCCGGTTTTCTTCAGGTTGGCCCACGGTGTGTAAACCACGTTGATGTTGTTCATCTTACAGCCTGAACACAAACAACACAGTAAATGGTTTTCATTGGGATGAATTCTAACAGTTGAACGCATTTTAAAAATGATCTGCGACTACATCACATGCATTTAGTTCGGCTGTGGCTCTGGTGTAACTGAACCAGGGGACAATCAGCTTCTTCTCAGGCTCAGTGCTTGTGAGGACGCAGGTCTTTACCTTGGATGCTGTTGTTTTTCACCAGCTGTGCACAGTCTATCAGCACCTCCGGAGGAATATTATCTATGGTCTCTCCCTAGAAAAGACACAGCGAGAACAAGTTAAATATGTAAAATGAACTGGTAAACCAGGTATCACAGGCTGAATGTATTTTTTTTTTTTTTTACTCCTTACCTTTGGCAACCTCAAGTAAACGTGAGCCGAAGACAGTTTGTCCACATGAAACCTGGACATTGAAAAAAGCATCTGATGTTGAGTTTGTGTGTCAAGATGTAAAAGTTTTACTGTATCTGTAAACACAGTTAACTCTACTAGGTTTATTGTGTATTTAAGTCGCTATGTTTCAGCAGCAACTTGATTGAAATATAAAAGATGTGAAGTTAAATCCCACCAGATGTCTTCGGGCCAGCCATACTTGATAAGATCCTCATCTATAGACGAAAACAACATGAAGTTAAAGTGGCTAATGCCAAACACTGTGATGAAAGCAGAATAACAATGCTAACAGTCTTACTTTCATACTTGTCCTTCCCCATGTAGATTGTGTGTGGAGGCTCCACCGCTGACAGAGGAGGAACCATTCATTCAGACATCAGTTCATAGTAAACATTAGTTTGGGAAAAAAAAAACACACAAAATAACACGAGAGACAGAATCTGCAGCTGGAAATGTAGCCGGCTAACAGGCTACGAGCTAGCAGGGCTGCTAACCCTGCAGCTTCACTCACCGGCGCTCGTGAAGTAAAAAACCATCTTCAGGGAATTAAAACTCGACGACAGCAGAAGAAGAGCGTGAAGTCTGAGAGGAAACTGTGAAAGTGTAAAAATAGCGAGTTCACTCAGAGACGGCTCTGACACTTCAGCGTGTGCACGTTGACCCGGAAGCACACACACACACATGTCCGCCTTCAGAATAAAAGCACGACAGAGAGGTTTGAAGCTTGACTCCGTCTGTGTTTTTGATGCTGGTTGAATTTAGAAATTAGAGCATCTGCAACAGAAGACACCGAGTCAGACTAACGTTTTTACACACAGTGATGTATCCCTACAGTAGTTGGGAGTGGTGCTACTTTAACTTTGGTTTGTACTGACTCCATTTTCCCACAATTATCCAGGTTACTGTGCAAAACATGTTTTTGGCACTAAAAGAAACGTGTGGTGGCTTTATGAATAAAAAGTATTTTTGTGGAGGCATTGCTATTGTTTCTATATAGATATGCTGTATTTTATAATTGATGGTACTACCATGGGCCTTATATGTAAAAGAAAACAATGTTTGTGACTGTAACTTTAGTTTAGCATTTATTACACTCATTCTTACTTAATAAAAAGGGTTGAAGAACAGTAACCTTTACTGATATTTCCGGGACATTACTTTCAGGCTTGGAATATTCTGTGATATATCATGATAATTCATGATCATTACAATAAATTGTTATAAAATGATGATGATGATTATGATTATTTATTATTCAGATGTATAATCCATATAATACGCAAGACACCGTTGATTAAAATACACAAAGATTCATGATTTCTGGACTTTTCAAGACTCCGGTGACGCTGGATAAAAGTCTCCTCTCTCCTGATTTCGAAGCTCTACATCTGTAATTCATGTATTTTGTTTGGAAACGAGGCAATCTCAAACTCTTAATATAACTTTATGACACCTCTATGAATAAAATACATTTTCTTCATGACTTCATGCAGAATAGTTTTGAGTATTCACAACCTGTTCAGCTCAGATACAAGAACAAATTATGTTTTTCTGTTACAGTCTTTTGTAAATCAGAATTTTTAATGTGGATCAAAGCGCTGTCTGCAAGTGTGTCATGACGTCACACAACCTTGGTTCTCACGGGGGATTAGCTCAAATGGTAGAGAGCGAGAACGAGAAGACGGGCACCGAAAAGTAAGCCCCAGGGGAGGAACGTGATTGGCTACTGTGGGCTTACTTTGGCGGAATAGACGGGATACAGAGGTAGCGGGATCGATGCCCGCATCCTCCAGTGACCCTGTTTTCCTCCAGGTGTGATGTGGAACATGTGTTATGATAAACATCTATACGTTCTTTAGCATGTGGTGTTCTCTTGCTAATATGTTGCAATGGCTGGACTATCGTGCCAATGTTCTTATTATTTTTTGTCTGTACTGTATCTAAAATATTTCTTCAAATCAGTAAGTTTCATTCTCTTTATAATGTAGTACAATGCACACGTTCACATACCTTTTTTTAATATATATTTTTTAATTAGAATTTGTTCGAAGAATGTTTTTTTTAAGCAAAATGTCCAAACATTTCATGGTGTCAACCTTCATCTTTCTCTGTTTCCTCAGATAAACTACATTTCTTTGGCTCTTGGACATAAAATAAGCAACATAAAAACACAACACAAACACGGATCTATGTTAATCATAGACTGTATATAAAGAGATATTAATGTCTGCAGCCTGCAGCGTGGACAAACTGGTGATTTATTTTGAAGACCACGAAAAAGAAGGAACCCTTCTCTTTTATAGTGGCAACTGGATTTTACAGCACTTCCGTTTCCGGGAATTAGACGCGCGCTGTTCAAAACACGGAGGAGAAACGCGCGCAGCAGAAAAAGAATAAGACGAAGAAGAAGAAGAAGAAGAAGAAGAGACGCCAACTTGAACTAAATCTGAACTTTTATCCATTTGTTGTGACGCGACACAAACGTGTTCGGTAAGAAGAAGTTCACGTGCTTCTCTTTTAAACGTCGTCTCCTCTCAACTTACACAAGAAGCGTCTTCTCTGGTCTCGAGCCGTGAAACAGACAAATATCACTATTCACAGACAAAATGGCCGATCGGTGTTAGAGCTGCTGTTCGTCGAAGTCTTGTTTAGTTTCTGTTGAAGAGTTGGAGTCGTCTTTTGTTTTGGATCATCGTCCCGCCAACTGTCTGCTCTTTGTCACTTTCCCCTCAGACGAGCTAACTGAGGGAAGCTAAGCTAACGTGCAGTGAATCCACACAGGTGCGTTAAATGCGGTAAAAAACCAAACCCCAGCAGGAAATCTTGTTGATTTAGCGCCAAACACACGCAAACGATTAAACGCAGCACTTCTATCTGCGACCTTCACGACACTCAGCAGGAAGACGTGTGGCTCTGCTGTACGGCAGCTGTGAATCACCATCATATCAAACACTGACGTTATGGGATGAGTGATGAGGGACACATCTTGTTTTCATTCACACATTGCAATTTGAATGTGACATGCAACACTTTGAGTGAACGTGTCTTATCCTCATGAAGTTTCTCTGTGTGCAGGTGACATTTGGAGAAATGATGCCCACGACTACCAGGAAGAGGAAGCTCTCCTCTCTGGACTCTGACAGGTGAGACACTGGATTGAAGCAGTTTTAAGATTTACTCTCCAAACAAACTGTACACTTGAATATATAACAAATAAATCAAACTGAAGTTCGACTCTTAGAGCGTTATTCACAGTTCTCACTTCTTTCCTGTCTGAGGCTTCTTCTGTTTAATGACAGAAAACAAAGCTTCACTTGATGACATATCTGATTTATTCTGTAGTTTAGTTTGTTTTGTAATGTTGCTACACTACTTTTCTGAACCTGGTTTTAAGATCTAATGAGAAATTGTCCTCGAGGACATCTAATGAAAGTCGTGTGTCTTCTCTCACTCAAACACCAGTCACCCAGCCAAGAAGGGGGTGAGAAAGGAGATGTCCCCCTTGAAGAGGGCATCTCAGAGAAAGCTGCGTCAGTCTCCAACTAAAAAGAAGCCAGCTGGACGTTTGGACATGGAGAACCTTTCTTCCCCACAGAAATCCCCACGTAAACGAGCAGGTAGAGGAGCAGTGATCTGATGTGGTTCTCTAAAGTTTGATGAAGATGTTAAATTCACCATCGGTGTCTGTTTATTTTCTTCTTGTTCTAGTCTCACCGACCAAATCGCCTCGTAAATCTCCCGTCAAACCTACCATCGTTACGAGCTCTTTTTACGGCAAGAAGAAGCTCGCCTATCTCACTCCACTGGAGAGAAAGGCAATAAAGGAGTCTATGCCTTCCCCTCCTTCTCTTCCATTGCCCCCCTCTCAGGTGAAGAAGCAGGAAATGAAGAGTAAAAAGAAAGTAAAGGGAGGCAACAAGGCGAGGAAGATTCCTGCAGGATCCAGTAAAGTGGGGAAGACAAGCTTTAAAAGCTTCACAACATCTACAAAGACGATCCGGCTTTCAAAGATTAGCAGCAGGTTTGTTTTAAGTCATTGTTCTGTCAAATCTGTTCTGTTGGTGCTTCTCCCTGGCAACAAGTGTTGATGTGTGTTTCTTGTTTCATCATTTAAATCAACAGTGTCGCTGCCAAACCAGCATCTGTGACGTCTGCAGCTCCCTCCGGTAACACTAAACTAGCAGAGTCCAAGAAAGCGATCACCATCACCTTCAGCAGCCTCAAGCCTAAACCCAAGATCTTCGTTGGGGCTGCCTTCTTCAGCACGGGGAAGAAACCAACATCCATGTACAAGAAATCTGCCCCGAAGTCCTCGACCAAGTTGGCATCCATCCAGAGCAAAAGTAGTGAAGCTCCGCCACAAGCAAAGAGTGAGAAAACAAGGCAGCAGCAGCAGACGACTGTAGTGTTGAACCAGCAACAGCAACATAATGAAAAGGTGAGCAGAACCATTGTGATTGTGTGTTCACACATTTTATATCTGTTGCATCTGAACTAGAATCGTACCCACACTGGATTGTGTTGTAATGCTACAGGTCGTCCACTCTAGTCCAGATTTTCTAAATAATGTTGTCATGTTAAAAGTCACGTTGATGCTATTTTTCTCCTGCTGGTTTCCTGCAGATCACCGTCCAGCCGAGCACCAAGCAGAGAACCAAGTTTGATCCGACGGACTGGATGGACTCTGTTAACGAAGAGCCTGGAAGTCCACAGCCGTTCAGGTGCTTTAATAATCGCAGAAGAAACGTCACTGTGTATTCGTCCAACAGTTTATGTGGAAATATTAATGCTATGTTTTTTTTTTCTTCTTTAAAACAATATTTTGGTGTAAAGACAAAAGTATTATTTCATATGATCAATAATCATCTTGTTCTCTCAGCTCACCTAAACTCCTGACAGAGAAATATGGGATTAACAAGGAGCTGAAGATTGTGTTGACGAGGACCCCGACATCAAGTCCTGCATCTGTGACTTCATTCACCAACACTCAGGTGCAGCAGACGTTTCTACACATCTGCACTCGCAGACACAGTTTCCTTCATGTGTTTAAAAACGTACTTCAGTTTATTATCATTGCCTGACTTCACCATCAGCTTTTAATCGTTACCAGACTTTAATAGTTGAATATCAATTTCCAAAATATGGTCTGCTGTTGCTTTTTCCAGGGTGATTCTCTGACCGGCGACGACTTCAGCGATATCAGTCAGACCAGTGCTGCCTCCAGCTCGCCCAAAGGTAGCTACACTGCCAACCAAATTAAGACATCTGACACGATGTTCTTCTTTCCTGGTTTCATTTGAGATGTTTAAAATACCACTCTGCCTCCTGTAGAGCTTTGTTTTTATTTTATTTTGAAATCTCTACAGGATCTGCAGCGGCCGTGTATCCCATCTTTGGCTCTGCGTCCAAGAGGTGAGATGTTTTAGTCATCTACAGTTGGTTTCCCTCCCTTTCACATGTTTCCTTCATCAATACAACATATGTTAGAAGCTATGGACCAGTTTTGGTATCACGATAATGTTTTGATCACCAATCGATCCTTAGCCTCTGATTCTTTGTTTTCTTTTTGTAGTAACCCTGACAACGCTACGTTCTACTTTTGTCCTGTAGGTTAAAGAAATCTCTGCAGCCTCCAGTGTCCTGCAGCACCCCCTCTGGCCCCGTAACGTCACTGCAGACACCTTCTTCAGCGAAAGAGCGAAGTGTTCGCAGGAGGAAAGAGAAGCAGGATGACGACCAGCTCATCATCGTACGTTAATGTCTTTATTTGATTTGTTTTTTAAATGCCAACTACAACGAATGCAAAAAGTATGTTGGTTCGAGGGGAAGATAGAAATTAAGACACAGAAAGTTTTTTGTTGGTTCACAGATCACCTTTTTTTTTTTAAATGTGTTTTTCTGTTTCCTCTTCAGGATGCGGGTCAGAAGCAGTTTGGAGCAATAACCTGCAGCTCATGCGGGATGGTTTACAGCGCCGACAACCCAGAGGACAATTTCCAACACTCCCAGTTCCACCAGCGCTTCATCGACTCCATCAAATTTGTGGTAAAACTTTTCTTCCCTCTCTCTGGACTCTGGTAAAGATATTAAACTGCACCAACATCACATCAAACCCCTTTTTTTTTAAAACATGAGCTGTCCAGAAAGAAAATTCAAAACAGGTTTAATATGTAAAACCAACTGATTATGAACATGTTTCCCTTTTGTCACTAATGATGAAATCACTTGTTTCTATCTAAATTAGTTTGGCATTTTCCGTCGATTCTCTGCCAACGCTGCAGGAGTTCAGATTATTTCATGTGAGTTTACGTTGGGAATTGTTGGCTTGTAGCTGCAGCTTCTTCTCTCTGTTGTGTGTCCAGGGCTGGAAGAAGGAGCGGGTGGTGTCTGAGTTCTGGGACGGAAAAATTCTCCTGGTTATGCCCGACGATCCCAAATACGCCGTCAAAAAGGTAAACGATGTCGTCACTGTTAATCAGCAAAACTGCTCATCAGTAACCGTCAACGTTTCAGTCTTTTCCTTTAATGTTGATTTTCCTGTCGGTGCCGTGTTTGTTTGGCGTCAGGCCGAGGACGTGCGTCGCGTCGCAGACAGCGAGCTGGGTTTCCAGCAGGTGACTCTGAGCCGACCCACGCAGGCCAGGACCTACCTGTTCATCAACTCGGAGCGGATGGTGGTTGGATGTCTGATCGCTGAGCCCATTCGAAAGGTTCGGCTGCTGGATGTGAACACGTCATCAACACTGTCCTCCAGTATTTGTTCATAAACACCTGAAGGTTTTGTTCTTTGTGTCCAACAATGAATTCAGGCTTACAGAGTCCTGGAGCAGCCGGACCGACAGAAGGACATGACCAAGGACGACTTCATGGAGCGACACCGAGCCTGGTGCTGCTCCACCGTCCCAGAACAAGCTCTGTGTGGGATCAGTCGGATCTGGGTCTTCAGCCTGGCCAGACGACAGGGCGTCGCCACCCGCATGTTGGACACCGTCAGGTACAGCTACACACACACAATCTTAACGTCTTCTTTGGTATTTGGGCATGATATCAAATTGTTGTTAGGATATAACATCTCGCTTCAGCTCTGAGGATCTGGTGACATTAACGCCACAGACTCTACCGTGTCGAGTGTTACACTCTTCCTACAAATTCTTTCTTTCCCAGGAGCACCTTCACGTACGGCAGTCATCTGACCAAGGAGGAAATCGCCTTCTCCGACCCGACACCTGACGGCAAACTGTTCGCAACCAAGTACTGCAACACACCGACCTTTCTCGTTTACAACTTTGTCGCGTGATGTCGGGAAAGAATTGACCTGAATGTTTTATTCAACCTGTTCTCTTAATGCGAGCGTTGCATCTTCAAAGTTCTTCCTGTTGAATCGTTCTTCATACGCAGAGCCGTGACTTCGGGTTTTAGTTTGTGTATAAGCTGCAGTTGTGTCATTTGTAATCATCAGGAAGAAGTAGGTTCACTGTTTTTCTGTGAACGCGCCTGTTTTCACTCAGTATTTATACTCAGCGCTGCCGGATTTTCCTGTTGAATGTATATCGGCGGTGCTTACAGATGTTTATATTTTAATAAGGACATTTCTACATTTCTGAATATTCACACATAACTTGATTTATTTACTTGTGCTTGTAAATGTTCCGGTTTTTTTCTCTCGTTACCAGCTCAAGGATTTCTGAGCACTTTGGAAGGAAATGTTTACAGACACTGTTAAAAAAGCAGAAACCACAATTGTTCGGGGGAGTTCTGCTTTGTAAATAGGTTTTAATAAACATGTTGTCTTTGTTTGAATCTAGAGTCGTTTCATAAATGTTTCAAAGATCATTAGTTATAAGTTCACTTCAGATAGATAATTTTATATTAATGTGACTTAAAGCTGATAGAGATCGGCTGTTTGCCCTTCTTCATAAATGCTCTGATAACGAGAAGCTTCATCTTTAAACAGATAATGAGCTTTATCTTCCACATCTAACAAATATCTATCAAATCTCCCAAACTGTGGCGACTGAAATCCAGACAATGAATAGAACATTTGAAAGATAAGAAATAAAATAAAAAAACAGGTTGCTGTGTTTTTTTTTTTGTGTTAAATTTAGTGACAGGAAAAACTTAAACGTTTGATTGTGAAATGTAAAACACATGGCAAAGTTTACAAAGATGGAAAATCCACAAGGATTTAGAAATAACTTTAAGAGAAAGTGACAATGAAAGAAAAAACAAATTTACAATAAAAAGTCGACAGAACGAGAGAGAGGACAACATACAAATATACAGTAAGAGATTCCAGTCGGCCCCTGCAGCTGCATTCAAAGGACACTTCAGTGATGATGCTGCGGTTTAATCCTTTAATTTATCAATTATCTAAAGTCCTGATTATTAATTAATTATTTCGATCTATTTATCAGTCGATAACGATCACCTCACACTGCGTTTTGTTCAGCGGGGCGTTGCTCTCTAAAGCCTGGACGATCTGGGCGGCTGAGGGTCTCTTCTTGGGGTCTTCTTCTGTGCACAGATAGAAAAGCTCCACCATCCTCCGGTACGAGCTGCCCAGAGCCTCAGCGTCCAGCGCCGGCCTCGTCCCCAACCTCTCGTAGTAGGCGTCCTCGTCAAAACTCTCCTCCGTTGAGTCCTCTGAAACACAAGGGTTTGACGAGGGCTGGTCTGAATGTAGATTCTCATTTAAACTTGTGAATCCTCAAAATAAAGAAATATCTTCACTAATAAGTTTGATGGGTGCAAGAGTCAGAATTTCTGTTTTTACATCGCCGCTGCGACAACACACTGTCTCACCGTCGTCCTCCTCATCGCCGTCGTCCCCCAGCATCTCCAGATGAGGCATCGCCAGGGTCATCATCTCCCACAGAGTCAGACCGTAGGCGAAGATGTCCGCCTTGTTGCTGATATCTCCTCCCTCCTCCAGAGCCTCCATCGGCTTCCACGGCTCCGTGCCGATGTACACCGCCCTCGGATCCGACACTGAGGACAGAAGAAGAAGAGAAAACTCAAATTTGACTGAAAAATTATCTAAATACAAAACATTCTGTTTGTCTGTGTCACAGTCATGTAACCGCAAATTAAATTATTTTTAATAAAATCAAAGCTTGTGATCTTTGGCCATGTTTTCACAAAGGAGGATCTGGGAATTTGTAATTTGTGTAAATTAAACCCAAAAGGGCAGAGACCCCCACTGGCTGACAACATGAACTACATGTGCATGAGAGCGTTCATGTTTCAGTCCGGGCAGAGAAACAAAGTGAATCAGCTGCTGTAAACAATCATTCTCTGCCAGTTCTGTGTTTCTATCCGTGATTAATCCAACTCATGTCTCCTCACAGATTTAAGATGAGCTGCAGCTGTGATGCGACCGCATGGACCGCAAATTAAAATCTGACCACAGGCCCAAAGTCTGTTTAGAAAACTGTAAGTATTAAATTATTAATTTTGTTTTCACATCCGTCCACAGCAAGAAATTAAACTTGATTCACGTCCCAGAAGTTGTGGAAATCACTGAGTCCTTCATATTTTCAAATCAGAGCTACGTGACTGATTTTAATTTTAAAGTGTTTCATGATTTATAAAAAGAAAACTGACCGCTCAGGTTCTCATCCAGCTGCAGAGACACGCCCACATCGCAGATCTTCACGGTCTCAAAGTCGCCTTTAATGACCACGTTGCAGGACTTCATGTCCCCGTGCAGCAGCTTCCTCTCGTTGTGAAGATACTGCAGAGAACAACAGTCGCTGTCTGACAATGTGCTTTTATGTGTTTCTGTCAACACCAGACAGAGGAGTCAGTGATTTACCTGCAGGCCGCGCGCCACATGCAGCGCCACTTTTTCTATGTTGGCGGCAGGAAAAGCTTTCAGGCCGTCCTCTCGCCGCTTCTCGATGAGGTCATTGAGCGACTGCTCTCCTCCGTACTCCATGGCCAGACACTTGGAGCCGTCTTTGGCCGTGGCAAAGGCGCGGAAACCTTGACGTCGGGACACAGACACAGAATTAACGACAGAACGCTTGTGATCATTTCAACTGATCCTGCTTTGTTTTAAAACCACCAGAGCTTCGACTGAGCCACAGACGCAGAGTCGAGAGGTTTGTAAAAAAAACGTGTTTTACACAGAAAGTAATTTTGGATCTGGTCTCACCAACAATGTTGGGATGATTGATTCCCTTCAGCACCTTCGCCTCCTCGTTCAGGCGTTTCTGGTAAACAGCCACTTGCCTCGCAGCACATTTACTGTTGATCTTCTTCACGGCCCAGGGAGACGCGTTCAGCTTCCCCATCCTGAAACGTGTTCAGATACTTCGTTAGGATTATTAGAAGTTTTACTTTTATTCTACTATAGAGTGTCTTCTCCTGTTTTGACACACACTCAGACAGACAGACTCTCTCTCTCTCTCACACTCTCTCTCTCTCACACAGACACAGACAGACACACACACACTCTCTCTCTCACACACACACACTCTCTCTCTCTCACACACACACACTCTCTCTCTCTCACACACACACACAGACAGACATACACACTCTCTCTCTTACACACACACTCTCTCTCTCTCTCTCACACACACACACASACATTYTCTCTCTCTCTCTCTCTCTCACACACACACACACACACACCTGTCCATGAGGTAAACATTGACTCCTGTCCCGCAGCCGAGCTTCTTCATGAAGGGTGAGGCTGGGATGGTGATCGGGGTCCCTCCATTGATCCCGCAGCTCTTCACCCTGATGCTTTTTGGGGTTTTGAATGAATCTTCATCGGTGCATGATGAAGAGGAGGCCATCCTGTCAGAGGTCAAAACACAGACAGACATACATGGATGTTTTGTGTTTATGAGCCGAATTAAAATCTCGTGTATCTTTTATTTCACCTTGTATTCGTGGAAACTGTCTGTCTCTGACGACGGGAAACGACAGTAAAAAGGAGTTTTTTTTAAATGGAGGCTGGCGTAGTAACTTCAATGGTGGCGTAGTGAAGTAAAGTGAAACGCCTCAAACTTGAATCGTGATTAAAATAATCGCGTCAGTTTTCAACAGCTGCAGATTTAAACTGAAACCAACATTAAAAACTCCAACAGCTGTAAAAAATAACTTGGTTTCATAACATTTAGAGACGGCGCAGACACGGCAGCCACCAAACCTCATGTCAAAAACGTTCCATTTAACGTCGGGCTCAAAGTTAGCGCTGGAGCTGAATCATCGGACAAAGCAACGCGTAGATAATCTGATTTAAATTGTTTCTGTTGAGATTAAAACCTGACATTTAGCTCACACATGAAACTTTACCTGGTTTTTATCTCCGCGTCACAACAGTCGAGCTGCAGCGTTTCCGCGCTAAACATTCAAACTGAGCGAACGGAAGCTCCGGAGGGACAAACCGAACCGGAGGCGTCGTTATATAAATTATAAATATATATATAAAATATATTATATCACGTTTAACAAGATTTGATTTGGATCAATTACAGAAGCGTGAAAAACAATTCGCTTCTGATTCAATTAGTTAAAAATAAAAAAACATTTTCATGAAAAATTGTCTTTTTCTGAATTAACGATTTTTAAAAAATCTTTTTTTTTAATTATAATGAAAAGGAAATAAGATTGTTCATTCAGAGACACAGAGCAGATTTGTCTTCTTTTGAAAAAAAAAATACTATATATATATATATACTGTATATGTATATGTATATGTATATATATATGTATAGTACTGTAGTACTGCTATTTTACCAACTGAGGTCAGTGTCGTTATAAACTCTGTTTCCTATATCAGGTGCATAGAAAGATATATAGATAGATTGTCTGGAGGGATAACTGGTCCTTTATGAGGACGAGGAGCAGGAATGTGATGTGATGACATGTGGACGTGGAAGACTGGGACTTTCTGTCTTTCTCTCTTTGATTCTCTCCATTTCTTGTTCTCTCTGAACAGGGATGAGCTCATGTTTGTGGCCTCTGCTGCACAGAGACATCCAGAGGGAGAGAGCAGATATATAAAGGAATGCGACGTGCATCCATGTGTCATTAGATCACATTCCTGCTCCTCGTCCTCATAAAGGACCAGTTATCCCTCCACACAATGACTCTATCTATCTATCTATCTATCTCTCTATCTCTCTATCTATCAGAAACCTTTAGTCACATTGAGTTAAACATGATGGGAAGTAAGTAAATCAGATCACTGGGTCAGAAACACATATAACTATCCACACATGTGTAACAGGAATTCCACTTGCAGACTTTTTCACTGCATTAAATAAACAATATTAAACTCGCTCGTCCCTGGAGGACGAGTGAAACTTCTCTTGAACTCAATCGGCTCCACACTCTTTTCTCTCCCTGTCGTCCATGTGTGTCGATGCATCAGGTGATTTTTCAGCCAATCGTCTCTGCATCGACCTCACATGTGGAAACGTTCATACATGTAATTACACGTCAGAGCCGTCAGTCACATCGCGTACACGTCGCTCTCACGTCCAGCTCAACTTCCTCCCGCTCTCTTCACCTGTTGACGTCTCAGAAGAGCCTGTTTCCACTTCCCCTCCGTTACCAGGAATAATAACAAGAGTTCACCCGTTTAAACAAATCTACACTTTATTATTTCAGCAGTGCATATACAACATTTTAGTGGTACAAAAATCTACAGAACATTAAGTAAAAAGTCGTGTATTTCTTTAAGCAAATGTATTTTCTTGACATAATGATGTTTGATTGAAGCATTTACTTCTGTATGTTAACTCCGAAGCCCTTATATGTGTTATGACCAGCACAATGTAATAAAAACACACACACACGTATATGCAGAAGTGCTCAGAGTAGTACAAAGGTCTTAGTATCACCGAGTTTACATTAAAACAAATCAGTTTTAAATCTTTCAGAGAAAAAAATACTCCTGTAAGTGCACTTGGTTTTCGCAAAGTGTTCTTATTATTTGATCCGTTGAAGCTGAAGCACAGATGTGACGTCAGGAAACCACCTCACGGCCGTGCATTACCTGCTGAGCTCTGATGGACAGTGAGGCATGCTGTGCTTTATCATCTATTTGACTCTAAATTGGACCTGAATTGAATAAATGAACATCATGCTGTATTGAAGAAGACTTGAAACCAGAGCTTGAGACCATAAACTCCTTGGGAAATTAAAGACGAAGAGGGCGAGCTTCAGGTGCTCTTCATCACTCTCTCCCCCCTCGACTTGCTTTGCAGAACAACTCCACTTCCGCTTCATTTCATCAAACTGCATATTTTGGAGACTGCTGGGAACATGATCCTCAAACAAGCCTTTGGAGTCACAGTCTGTGCCGGCGTCACTGCCAGGTGCTGGCCCAACATGTCTGGCAACACTTCACAAGATCCAGAACTTAAACTCCGGCTCTGTGAATCTTCAGAACTGCGAGAACACGTACATGTACACATGCCCTCGTTTAATCAGGCGAACAAAGCTACCAGACTAAACACGAGAGTCAAGACGTCCTCGCTGAACACCTGAGGCCATTTTATTATAGATTACATTTCAAATCCCTGCCACACGTCACTGATTCAAGGCCCTAATCATTTTCAGACTACAGAAATTATGTTTTTGGATTGAAGTCTGAAATTGGTACATTACAGTCTGACTGAGTGTTGAAACAGGCACTGAGTATATTCAGGTGTTTTGATGATGATAATCAATATATGACTTTCTGATTTAATAGATTCATTGTTTGCTGTCATACGATATACAAAATAAATGATGTCCAGCATGATTTTCCAGAGCAATTATTATGTATTCTGTCCAAAATCCAGATATATTCAATTTATAATGTTATTAGATGAATAACTCAAAAGCCAGAGAATTGTTGTAGCACGAAAATGGGTTATATGATTATGAAACGATCAAACATCTTCCCAATTATTTTCCTGGCGATTGACATATCAGTTAATTAACACATTCAGCTCTAGTGAGTGCTATAATAGTGAACATAACATTGAACCCGGAGCTCTACAGCAGCCAGATGGCGCAGTGTTGGTGTCTTTAAGTCCCAGTCGACACAGTGAGAAACATTTAAAAGTATTATTGTTCTTATAAAACTGTTGTAAACAAAGTGAAAAATCTTCAACGTCAAACAGAAGAAAGAGAAAATGAAAACGATAACTAGAAATCCCTCTGGTCTGCTCCTCAGTATCTCAACGCTGTGATGTTTTTAACTATGCTTGTTTAATACAATATAAAAGACGGTATGTAGTAATGATGACATGCATAAAAAGTGACTTCATCATTAAATATGGAAGAAATTATACATGTTTTTTTTGTTTAGCACAAATAATGGAGTATTATCCAATAAAAATAAAATTACCGCCCTGTGGTTGTACGACTCCGCCAACAAATGCAGTTTCAGTCGATGTAATTTATTTTTCAGTTCATCTTGGAGTCCGAGTGACAACTGAAGTGATGAATTGAAGTAATCCCCTAGAGGCAGACTTCACATTACAGCGGCCAAGAACCATGTTTTGTGAGGCCGCCATGACCTTTGACCTTTGACCACTAATCGAATCAGTTAATCTGAGAGTTCGAAATGAACATTTGTTCCAAATTTGAAGAAATTCTCTCAAGATGTTCAGGAGGTATCACGCTCACTACATCGAGCCCCCGGCCGCCGAGACAAACGTGTTTCCTACCCACAATTCCCGTTTGTGTTGCTATAACTTGTGTCAATGCTGTTTGAGACTCTCCTTCTTTAATTCCTTTTCTCTGACAGAGTCGTGGTTTAAAAACAGAACAAACGACAAACACTAAGGCACTTTAACATGAGGTAGAAAGAAAACACTTCTGTCTGCAGTGCCGGGAAAGGTAAAAATTTATATTAGCATTTTCTTCTCGCTCCGTGTTAGTGGGGCGGACACATTTCCACCACAGATTATAAGAGCGAAGGGAATTAAACTACAAGTTCAGGTTGTTACTTTGCCACGGTGCACGAAAAATATTCTCCCTGTTCATACATAAATCATGGCTGAGTAAAGAGACAGGTTCCTGCACATGTTTTGTTCCAACGTGTGGTTTGGTGTATTCTTTAAGCTCAGACGGAGACGTGAGCCAGGACACTTGGGAGGTAACAGCTTTGCTGGATTTGAGAGGAGCTATAAAGATTAAAACCCACTGAGAGAGGAGTAAAAATTAGAAGAAAAAGCTTGTATGTTATGGTTGGTTTAATTTGTGTGAGTGTGTGTGAGTGTGTGTGTGTTTGTGCTCTAATACTGAAACAACCCAACGTTTGGCAGTAAACACCGACAGACCCACTGTTATAAATTGTGCAGGGCAGGCATCCATGCATCCATCTGTTTGTACTCATCTGTTCTCTTTTCTCCATAATCACTTCATCTGTCAACTGCAGTGACTCTCATCCGTTTCTAAACTCTGCTATCTGCAGACTTGTAGTTTCTTTATAAATATCAAGCACTGCTTTGGTGACGAGCAGCTTAAAAGACACAGAGATGTTATAAAAAAAAGATTACGTTACAGGAGAATGTTCAGCGACGGTATAAGAAGTATGATGAAGCACAAAAGCCATTCCTACATACGGAGAAGAGCAGCTGCCTGTACATGAAACATCAGTTCACCAGCGATCGTCAATCACAGTCTAATCGGTTTCAATATGTGCCGTTTCAGCTCGTCAGCAGCTCGGAGACGACGGCCGATGATGAATTTGTCAGATCAGTTTTTTTTTCTCCACGCTGGAGGGAAAACAAAACAACCAGCTGACCTCAGATCAGCCTCTGAGGGCAACTTCCACAGAGCTGACCCTTCACTGAAGACCGGTGAGCTCCGTGATCCAGTCTGATGAAGACTTGTGTTGTGTGATCATCAGTCTGAGTAACATCTCTCACTACGCAGACAATAAAACCAGAATTTAGTCTTTGCATTTTTCATTCGCCCCATGATTCAGTCTTGTGGCTAAAAAAAGTCACCAGCGGGACGTTGTTCACTTTGCAGCGGCTTTAGAATGTAAGGCACAGTTAAGTTTAGACGGTGCAGGTGACGCCAGCGTCCTCAACGTGACCGCAGTTGGTTTTGCCCCAGCCTGAAAAGTTGCACTGGTGGATGGTGTCCTCCGTCCCTGTACATGCGACGTCGTCCATCCAGATCAGACCAGTTCCTGCAGAGAGAGAGGGACGACATTACAAATTGGGTGGAAAGCATCAGAGGGAGCGACGCAGAGAACCACTCACCTAAAGAACCTCATGTTTGCCAAACAAGGCCCACGTTTGTTTTGGGATCATTTGGCAACATTTGCTATTTTACAAGTAGGAAACATTTGTTCATTTTGTTTGAGCAACACGAAGGCCACAAGTGACGCATCACTGCCTGAGGTGGTCCACATCCGTACTGAGCGCTGTGGGTGAGTCGAGGCAGAGAGTGGGGCGTGAGTCGAGTCCATGAACCAGTTCCCTGGCCATGGTTTTGTTTAATTTTCTCCTTTTCTAACATCTGTTTTCATTCGTCTTTCGCTTCCTTCTCTATCCTGTTTTGGAAAAATATTCTGTCCAGAAAAAACACGTATGTATATATACAGAAAAACATGCAAATTCGCTTTCCAGGAAACTGAAAAACAGGCCACGATCTCCGCTACAGAACAAATGAAATGTGGAACGCAATGAATGAAAATGATCTAATCCCCCCAAGTTTTCTTTATAATTATAAATCGAATTGGAGCGGCCAAAAACAGAATTCACATCTGGACTTGAACAGCAGCTGCTGAACCTCAGTCATGTCTCTGACGGCTCGTTCATGCTTCACTTTCCCTCGTCTGTGTCAGAGAAATGCAACTGGATCCAATGAGACTGAACACGTTGCCTCTCTGTGTACACACACAGTGTAAAGGTCATAAATACAGACTGTATATGAAGACAGATGACAAAAGTGAAGCCAAAGCATCTCGATCGCCCCCAGGCGGCTGGCTGCAGCATAGATCCTCCATGTTAACAGATGGGTAAAAATAAAAGGTCAAAATACGAGTCAAAGTTTCTCGGTTTTAATTAGTGATTCGATGATATAAAGGGAAAGGGAAATGTCATGATTGACAGCTGAGACCTACTCGTGATTGGTCCGCAGCTCATGGACCAAACATTCCGCTCACTTTCCAACTTGTGGTGGCATTTACATGAATTTTCCCAATCGTGAACTAATTTTCCAATTATTCTGCTTTACAAGAGTCTGATTGAGACACCAAGAACTGCGAGTGCTTCCTCACAGACCCCTGCATCAGATAAAATCATATCTGGTCATAAAACCGTCCCAGCTGCTGAGCAGATCTTTTGGCAGGACGCTTCTCGCTATAAACTTTGGATCCTGTTTGTGAAACCAGAACCACCGGAGAGTTTCAGAAAGTCCCGGACACTCTGGTTTGAGAGGATACTCAGCTGTGTGAGGGAACAACTTTCGATTGCTTTCTGCGGTTGAACCGATTCTTATGGTTTATGCCTTGTTTGTGAGAGGCTGACTCATAAATAATGCATTTAAAGCAGCATCTGGAGCCTCGTAGAGAAGCAGAGAGGAGCTGTCGTCTCTGCTGGTCGGCTCTAAATCACAGCCGTTAATCACAGGAAACTAACGCCACATCTCTGGATGCTCTAAAAAATAAGCAATTATTAAAAAATCATCAGCGCATTTCAAAATAATGATACTTCAGCATCTCAAATACCACTTTTTATTGCTTTTTGGTCTGTTGTTGCACCATATTATGAACATGGTTGTAGCATCAGCTATCTGGTCTGTGATTGGACAGCAAGTTGCAAAGGCTCATGGGATGTTTAGCCATTTTGACTGATATTTGGTTGATGTGGGTTTTGTGGATGGTGATGTTGTGTTTATTTAAGTAGGACTGTGGGGTGCAGCGTTGTGTTAATAAAGTTTTCGTGACTTCTTCAGGAGTTAAAATAATAGGGAGTATTACCGGAAGTAGTGCGGGCGTTTTATTTTGAAACCCGTATTTCCCGCTTCGGACTCTGCAGGTGACGCTTCGTGTTGCTTCTGCACCTTTACTGTTTTAAAAGTGACGTCAAGTAACTGACGACGTGTAATGTTGGTTGTTGTGATGCTGTATGTTTGTGTCGTCATGCTGTATGTTTGTGTCGTCATGTGTAAATGACGGAGAGGAGGGGCGTGTCTGTGGAGCTGCACGTGCAACCTTAGCATGCTCTGTTTGTTAGCATGAAGCATGTCGTGACGTTATTCATGTTCTCCAGGTGCAGAGGGGACAGCGTGCACATGAGACAGACTGTGGACATGTGTACATACTCCACGACTAGAGGTATGTAATATATATATATATATATATATATATATATATATATTCCACCTACCTCATGTATATAAAGTATTCTGCGACAATCTTCACATATTTATTCAAGCATCTTTGCATCATTGGATTATTTCTCCATTTCACTCGTTGTTGTGTTTTTATGTTCATATATATACTTTTATATATATTTATATACATATTTGTACATAGTCGTTAAATGTTGATGCTTATCTTTGTTCTGCTTTGTTCTTGTGTATTTGTCTCTGTACGTTCAGTCAAATTCCTTGTATTTGTACTCATACATGGCCAATAAAGCTGATTCTGATTAATTTATGATTAAATTGTATTTTATTCAATGATTTTATTGTATTTACTGTTTTTGGTTGATACTCATTTCTCTCTTTGCTGCGGACTTTCGTTGGGAAGGTGCTGAGCTTACTGAGGCTGAACATGTTGTGTCTCAACGATTACAGATGCTGTTGCAATAGTTTGTTGGAAGCTACTTCCCTTTGAGTGTGTCTTTTAAAACACACAACGCACAGATCTGACAGCAGCTGAACAATGTGCTTTGCTTTTAGATTTCTTCTCCATGTCTTGCAGTGTTGATTTACCCTTGAACAAAAGTTGAAGAGTTTATGAATATTTAACTTCCTTGTATGAAATGAAGAATTTTGAATCTATAAAATGTAAATGTATACTGTAAATGACAAATACTTGACAGAAGACAAAGGCTTCACATCATAATGATACGACTGTTAATTCAATTAATCAACAGGTTTGAGTCTGGTCTGAACTTTTCCTGATTTTCTACTGGAAGCATGTTTCAGATAATCTGCTCAAACTGCTGCAGCATGTGAAACGACCCCGTACAGACCTGTTGTGTTTCCTGAAACATTTCCCGAATCTCTCTCTGCAGTCGACACTGGTTCACTCCTTGTGTTTTATGTTTTGTGGTTCCAGTAAAACTTTGATCAGAGTTGTTCTAAAGCCCCGTCTAAAACAACTGCAGTGTGAGTCAGCCGTAAAGAAACCTGATGGAGACTTTTACATTCGTGTGTTTTTGTGTTTGGAAGACGTTCAGTGTGAAACGAGTTTTTTTGAAAGTGCAGACTTGGGTTCGGGGAAGTTTCAGCTTGGCGTGTTTCTGGGTTTTTACTACATTAAAGATCAGGTTGCGCAACAGGAGATTAAAAGAAAAATAAAACAGCATGAAGTTTAGATCATTATTGGACACGTACACTCTCAAGTGAAAACCAGACTAATAACATTAAAGCCATTTTGTATTTACACAGCCCAAAAAGTACAGAATCTAATTTTTCTTTCTCAAAGAGCTTTTTGTTTGGCACAACATACGACACACCCTCTTCACTCAGACCCTTATAAGCACAACATGGTTTGGGAATAAAAAGATAAATTTGAGCAACAGAGGAGAATCTTTAAAAAAATCTACGGATTTCAGAAAACTACAGAAATTTCTGTCTATGTGGCTCATATCTCAAAAGCCGTTCATCTTACTGACTTCTTATTTGTCCTGTGTATTTTTAACGGCCCAAAGAAGTGCTGTGCGACTCATTAACCGTAATTGACGTTGTCGATCATTGTTATGGACGTTTTCTGGAAGCTGGTGGAAGGAGAACTCAGGCAGCAGCTGACGTCTTATGTAGAAGATGTTGATGTAGATTTGATGCATCAAGGAGACCAGAAGGTGCAACAACATACAAACATGAGCAACTGTGGAGCAGCTGAGTGAGATATGAAAGTCCCAGAGCGTAGACAATGCACTGATGGTCGGTCCTTTATCTATAACCTGACCTTGTGTACTGCCAAGAGAGAGAAGGGAGTATCTGTGGAATTAGCCAGGTACTCTTCTCTTTATGGAGATATAATGTAATATACACTATATATATATACATAATATGGTGTATAGTGGCATATACAGTGAGGATATACAAAACAATCATGACGACAGATACTCCAGTTCAGGGTTCGTGTACTGAACTAGTTCTCTACAACAAAAAGACAAAAACTAAAACTATTTGTTTTGGTCTCGATGATGCATATTTCTGCAAAATCTGATCCAAATGTTGCATTTAAAGGTCGACATCTGAACAAAAAAAAAAGGAAAGTTCCACAAACCATTGTCTTACACCACACCATATGCTTCTCATATCCCAAAACACAACAAAGAGACGTCAGCTGACACTTGAAAGCAGCAAGAAACATCACACACACACACGAGTCTGTGCAGGCGCATAGGATGGAAAATGAGGTTCACTGCGCTGGACAAAGTGCACGAGGGGCCGCGGCAGAAATGCGTCCAGCGTCATCTGTTCTGTTGGGTTTACTCTGACGGACTCAGACCTTTAAACTGTTTACTCAACACACACTTACAGAAGTGGTTACACAACTGCTCACAACAATTTATTATACTTTCACACAAATAGGCGTTGAATGTAAAAACACTGTGTGTGATCTCAGGGTTACACCCACAGTTTTAATTTAGAGGAGTCACAACACTTCAGAGGGATTTGTAGGATTGAGAGAACGAGCTCTGGGCTTTTTGCAAAAAGCAAAGTGAGAAAAAAAGAAAAAAAAAAAAAAACAGGTGAATGACTCATCTGAAAGTTTAAATTTATATTTCAGATTATTTTGTTTTAAATTGAGTGCAGCCGTGCTGTTAGTCACTGCTGTTGTCTGGAGCTCGTCCCCTGGAACTAAAGCTTGTTTCCCCCGTATTTTCCAGACTCACTGGTAACAAGTCGTCCTGGACAGAGGCTGAATGATGTAAGGCCGACAGCTGAGTGGAGAGAGGGGAAGATGGATACGACCTCTGAGACTCCTCTTGACGACATCTGGCTCACATGACTTTCCTCATAAAACCTTAATATTAATCCCTGAAGCGTTGTAGGGCACCGTTTAAAGAAAACCACTCCGTAGCAAAAAACAAAACTTCAATCAGGAAATATCACCATGGACGTGTGCCGTGGGAAACAATATTTCTTTTTCATTTCCTGCTGGATTTTTATACGGTCTTTATTCTAAAACATGGCCACGGATCCTTTAAGAACGTGAGCGTGTTGAGAGTGTCTTACCTTGTCCGAAGCGTCCGGTCTTATGGACCTCTGAGGCTCCTCGGTATCGCAGCATCCTACACACCACGTCTCCGTCCTTTTTATCCCAGACGTCGTCACACACCGTCCCCCAGCGACGCTCGTGGAAAACCTCCACGCGTCCTTCGTGAGGGCCCGACCCGTTCACCAACCGCACCAGGGTCTCCTCCACTGCAACACAAACACAAATGTGTGTTTACAAAAATCTGCATATTGATTTGACTTGAATGCATTAATTGTTGGCCTCCATTCATTGGTAACTTGTGCAGTATTGAGGGAAAACTGCTTGAACCCACACTGAGCAGGTCATTTCCATTGTCAGTGTTTATACTTTAAAAAAAGTATTAGATTCAAAAAGAATAATAATAAAAGTCCTCTGAGAGGTTAAAAAAATTGGGTTTTGAAGTTCTGTGTAAAAAGTTTTTCCCTAATTGCTTAACATGGTCTGACACTTCAACCCTGCAATAATCTCAGAAACCAGTTAGAGATTAAATTATTCACTTCCTCCATTGGATAAACATCTGTTAAAAGTTTTTCCCCTCATTTTATTGGAAGATAAAAATAAGCAGCTGTTGCTAAAAAAATCAAGAAGAAAGAGATTAAAACAAACAAATGGACATAAATTATAAACAGAAGTAAGAAAAAAGAACAAGAGATTAAAACAGGGAAAACACGAGGAGAGACAACGTGATAATTAAAAATGTAGAAAGAAAAGAGATGAAAACATTAGAGGAGATGAAAAGAAATTGAGAAACATAATAAAAGAGATTTTGAAAAGGCACAGGAAGAAATTATGGAAAGTTGAGATGCATGAAAATGAGACGGGGCTCAGTGTTGATGTCTCCACTTCCTCTGTGTGTGTGTGTGAGTATTGTACTACACACACACAACTGTTGACAATGTGCTGGCGAGTGTAACCAGACGCATCATGTCGACAGGATATCAGTCTCATCAGACCATCATAAACTTTAACTGTGTACCATTTAACACTCATTATACAGTGAAGCACTTCGCCCTCACTGGCCCATCATAACTTAATATCCACCATAATCATCATACTGTAATATCTGCGGCGCATATTCCTATCACAGGCCGCAAATTAAAACCAGAACATTCTACTTCCTGCTGCTCTTCCTTTCAGACGGCACCGTAAAATAAATAATAATCCCTGAGCGACAAAGGCTCCAACGGGTCGATCCTCCCCCCTGATGCCAAACTATCCCAGGATTCATTTGTGGAGGCAAGTGACGAGAGCAAAACAAAATCGACCAGACGTCTCATGTCGATTCTGACTTCACGGTCTACGCGGCTCACGAACGCCAAAAGTGAAGTTAATCGTCCCCTGATGGACGCGGAAAAACTGAAAAGTCAAATAAAGATTTCTGACATTTTAAGTCGTTCTTATCACACGGATGTTTGTTCAGTTTTCCAGCAACTAGTTCCACTTTAAAAGCGGAGTGTTGAAAACGGTTTGTGTGAGTGAGTCTCATCGTCCATCTTTATAAAAGAGTCATTGGCTGATGTTATTCACCTTTGCTTCCAATATGGCCGTGTTTGAAAATCATAAAATATCATCACGTCATAACTATATATTCAACTTTTGGATTGAAATATGAGAAACTAAATGTGCCAGTGTTGGAAGATTTGCCTCAAAATCGCTGAACTCAACCAAATACCGAGAACTTTATGTCGTTAATGACTTTGTCAGGTTGTTCACAGTGACGCTAACGGACAGAAATGTTAGAAATCGAAAACAAACGCTTCTTCAAGCTCCGCAGCTCGGACACCGTTAAGTTGCCCAATTTGGACTAAACTTGACATTTCATAACGAGCCTTGAACTTCTTCGGCAAAAGCAAAGGAGTTAATGCGAGATGCTATAATGAGTGTTTTCATCCAGAGGAATCCAGACGAGAGAGCTCCAGGTGTTGGTGCTCGTCCAAATGGGTCGAGCTGCGGAGGGCGGACGAGTTGCGGCACCAGACTGTCGATACCTGAAGAAGGCCAGAATACGGAGTGATCACATATTACAAATGTTTGTCTGGCAGAAAGTCAGGGAGGGAGTGGGGGGGAGGGGGGGTCTGGACGGGAACGAATGGCTTCAGAACAAAAGTTAATCGGTTCCATGTGTTTGTGAAAAGTTGCTGAAACTCAGATTTTATCGTCTTTTGAATCTTGCATTGCCTGAAGTTTGTTTTTTATTAGATTCTCTTTAAAAAAAATCTGTGTCGTCTTTGTCGTTAGGTTCAAACCAACAGTTCAACATTTTTAAGTGAATACGGTGAATGTAAAGCCTCAGCCAATTAGCTTAGCTTAGCATAAAGACTGTAACAAAATCTGCCGACCAGATCCTCACACGTTCGCTAATTAACGTCATGTAAAAGACCATAAAAGATTCATCTCTGAGCATGAAACTGTAAATAACCGAGGAGTTGGATTCCTCATGTGCATTCCTGCATGTGTGTCTGCAGGAAATTAGAAATGTGGATCATTTCATGACCAGACACTGTGGAGCAGTTGTGTTGTTCAGGTTCAGAATATAAAGAAGAACTGAGCAGGTACGACGAGCGGAGAACAATCATGGTTTGACTAATGAGGAAAATAACCGTAGAGTTTCTGGTGTTTAATTCCGTTGCTCTGTAGCGACGGCGGAGAACGAAACCGAGTAAATCTCAAACTCTGGCTTCAGGTGAACGTGCGCGTAGTTATAGTAACACGGTATTTTCATGATCCTGCTTCCTGGGGTGAAAACAAATTTGTCATTAGAGTAAAAAACTTGAAATCATTTCCAGAGCTCCACTTTAAAACTACTTTGGCAGGTGTTGTGTGTGTGTGTGTGTGTTTGTCCGTGTGACTGATTTCACAGCGTAACAGCATCACAGCCGTGAAACTTTGCAGGTGTGTGGACGAAAACGGAGGCCAAGTTTGAAATGAGGTGCGGTCCGAGCGAGGGCGCCGGGGGGCAGGGGCTGTAGGAAGTATAGGCGAGTAAGTTTAACGCCTCTGGCCCAGGTTGGTTTTAAGTCAGGGGATCACAGTATCCCAGTAATGACTACTGAGCACTCATGGCTCGCAGCTGGTGGGATCCCACCGCACGAGGGTGTCCAATTTTCTCGCCTGGGACATAAAATTAAACATCTGGAAACATTTAGAAAAAAATCATCTACAGAGACACAGAACTAAATTTGGTTTCATCAGCTCGTAAGCTGCAGCTGAAAATATCTGCCGGTCTCAGTGCTGCGAGAATAAATAGACTTTTTTTATCAACCTGTGTTTAAATCATATAGAGGGCCATCCTCCGTCCTCCGTCCTCCGTCCTCCGTCCAGTACAAAGGCCTCACCCTCTATTAAAGCAACATCAACGCAGATTCAACAGATGAAAGTTTTCTCTGTTTCTGTTTTGCATTTTTTCAAATGATTCCAATCTGGGCTCCAGTTGTTCTCTTCCACGGATCATTCCGGTGTCACCGCCTCCTTGATGATGATTTTAAACTTGTGTTCATTCACAACATGTGTGGATGAATGTGCATTTTTTCCCACACACACACACACACACGTGTCGGGGTCGCTCTGGTCAGCGATCACACAGGTATGCACTGTGTGCTTTGAAGTGTAAAAAGATCCAAGTCATGCATCAGAACGTCTGTGACAGAGAAGTGCGAGACGCACCGACTCAATATTCCTGACAGCCGGCAGCATGTGGTCTCACTTTCTCTGAAACTTCAAACATTCGTGTCTTGTCAGTGATGTGACGAGAGAAACCATCTCTGACGGTTCTGAGTCGACGTTCACGTCCTCGTGCATTTGACGTCCTCGAGAACAGACGCGATGACGTAACCAACCTACCTGACGAGGTTTCAGTTTACCGCCACATGACATGTGCTCGCGTGTAATGGTTTTTTTTCGAATGCTTTTGATGTACGTGAAGCCATGTGGCTGTTCTTCGTGTGTCGGAAACCGTGAGATGACGGCGAGAGGAGAAGCAGATTCTACGGATTACTTTAAAGTGGCCACAGCTCGGGCGCAGGCCGTCAGGTGGATCAGAGACGTATGAGGCCCCTAAATTCATCAGCTCGTAAATCTGTGATTCTCCGTTGCCAACTTTTTGAATGTGGATCATATGTTCTGATATACGGACTGTGCTCATGTTACATCAGCGGAGTCCCGGAAGGATCTTACCTAAATGTTTTTATGGAACATACACAAAGTTAAGATGTTGAATAAACCGGGACAAAAAAACGTACTTACTTGAGTGCTTGAGTCCAGATTTGAGGTATTTGAACTTTAATATTTTCTTTTCATGCCAGATATTATTTTAACTTCTTAGAGAAACATATCGCAGCCTCGACTTAGACACATACATCATTCATGAATCACTCAGAATAATATGATGGGCTTCAAGTTCAATGCATTTTAACCACACGTACATGAAAACATGTCAAATTCAATGTAGCTTCAATATAAAAACCTTGTTCTACTCACTCCTCAGATCCCGTGTCTGTAAAAACAAATATATTCAAACAGCAATTGATTTTCGAATCAATATTTTCTCAGCTTGTCACAGGTGTCATGGTGGACGTCTGTGTTTGATTCTCCAGCGGTTACATGACTCAGGTGAAGAAGAGGGAGTTACTGCTCTCACCTTTATTCTCTCCTCTGTCTCCTCGAGCCCCTTTCTCCCCCTTTAGCCCTCGTTCTCCTCGGTCACCTGAGGAAAGAAAAGAGAGAATTACTCCAACTTCACAGCAGCGGATATTAAATCTTACACGGAACCTAATTCAAAACATGTCAACCATAGATTCTAATATTAAAAAAGTTATAAAAAACTTCTTAGCAGCCTCTGAAATCGCCGGTTCTGTAACCACCCTCCTGAGATGTGCATAAAATGTAAGAATAGAGGACACCACTGTGCATCCTGTGCTCATTTTAACTCTAAATGTGGCGACGTGTTGTTTCTGCTGCAGAGTCGGGGCGGATGAGGTTTGAAGGAGAAGTAGGCGTAAGAGAAAAGATAGAAGTTCAAACCACAGTGAAGCCATGTGTCAAGGTACATGTTTTATTTTTACAGTGTTTGCACGGTGGAAAAGAAAATGCAAAGCAGAGCCACAGAATCACGATAAGTAAAAATCCATCCATTTGTGGTTTCTGAAGAATCATGCTACGTTTACGCACGACACCTCCTTCCACCCAGACGCTTGGAGACGACGTTTCCTCATTTGTTTTCATTTCAAAATATGATTCCCTTCCAAAGACAGAGAGTCCGCTTCAGTGCCGTTTGTTGCTAATTTTCAGGTTTGAAACCACAAGTCTGGTTTTGCCATGAAGCTACGAGAGGATCAGCTTCAAGTGGGCATTCGTCCCACCTTTAATTTGAGACTCTTTTCACGTCCAGGACCGCAGGGCGGCGGCAGCAGCAGCAGCAAGAGGCGAGGTGGCACTCAGTCACATTTAGTGCACGTATATGTCCGTGTCTGATTAGTGCAGCAAACACTGCACCACACCCTGTCTGTGACGTCCTCCGCTGTTAGCATCGCCTCAGTTCTGACCGCATCCTTAACGACTAAATAACACTGCAGGAAAAAAACCCAAACACATCACTAGTCCTCTGCTGAGCCGCAGGAGGCCACAGACGCGTCTGATTCAAAACTGATGTTAATTCACGATGAATCTGAAGCTCTCAGATTTAAATTCTTATAGTTTCACTAATCACAACTTTTAGCTCCAGGGGCTTTTACCCAGACTCATTCATTTCAACAGCCGTTACATTTACTGACATAAGATTTTGAGCAGACTTCATCATCCATTACATAATGTTTTATAACCTCCACCACTTTTTTATCTTTGTTTGTTGGAATTCCACAAAAACTACCGCTACTGCAATACTTGCTTTTTTAAATATATACAATATAAATACACCTAAATACCCACATTTTTCACTCATGGGCCGGTTGAGATGAGTAAATATTGGACTTGCATTCATCAAATATCCAAATACATGAATCCAAATGAAAGCTGAGACGGTTGAGATGCGATGAAGCTGCACGTCTGTCAGCTAATGCAGGTTTTCTTCCTCAAACTGGCCAAAGGGATATAGAAATATTCCATCTTTAAACTCTGCAGAGCTGCGATGCTTGAAATCCAAACACCTCTGACCCTGCTCCTCACTCTTCATCTATAAAAAGAAACCACAAAGCTTCGCCGCCCCCCC